TAAGAAACCGTCATGTCATATTTAAAAAAACAAAACTTTTTTCACACATCTAATCTAAGCAAACACATTCTCATCGAAACCAAAACAAGAATTGGAATAGAGAAAACAAACCGCTGCTAATTTGATGAGCAGTGTCAGGGATTTCGATATCAACAACATCATTTCCATCTCCGACATTGATTTTGCGATTCTTAGCTTCGGTGGCGGTCATGGTCGCTAAGAGACTTTCTCTTTCTTCTTCTTCTTCGACCACATGAAGAAATTTTGAGAAAGCCAGCTTTTATAATTTTTTTACAAAAAAAGATCTCTTTTTTTAGCGAATTTTTCTCCTTCACTAATAACGAAAAAAAGCTTCGCTTTTGATTGAAAGAAAAGGAGCCCAAGAATCCAGCTCGATTCGCAACTGATATAAAACAAAAATCTCTAATCAGTCAAAAAAGAAAAGAGAGAGAGATTACAAATCGAATCGAAGAACAAAAGATGGATTCTTTTTATTAGTGCTTCTTTCTTACTTGCGACAGAAATTATAAACAAAAAAATTGGTATTGGTGGGTCTCAGCCGTTGAGGTTTCTTGTCTGAATTTGTTATTTTGCATGAGAGATCCTATAACAATGGCGATATTTTTATTTTTAAATTGTAAAAAAAATATTTATAATTAAAAAAACATACATCTGCCTTATTAATGTCTTTCCATTTTTTTAGTTTTTTTTTTATTAATTTTATTTTTCTTCTGTTAGCTGATATTTTTGTCTAGTTGGGTTATTTTGAGTTTTGAGTATTTTATTTTCTTTGCCAAGTTTTGTTTTTTATTTATTTATTTTATTTTATAAAGTAAATGTAATGAATTCATCTTTTCGAGAAGATACTTTTCTGCTGACGAATAATAAATGAAAATGTTCGCGTAGTAGGGAAATATGGATTTAAAACAAGTGAGAACAACACAAAGCTATTCTAAAAAACTAAAAATACGTACATTAGATTTGTGTTATTGTCGTAGTTACCCAAGTTGAATGTTACTAGCTAAGTTTAGTTATATATAATTCTCAAGCTACTAATTTTGGATACATATTTGTTTTCTTGTACCAACAATATATAGTTTGAGCTCAAATACCCGATTTGTATACGTTTGTACTTGGCTTTTATGGGTTTTCTTAAATTATTTGTGCAAGTTTGATATGGAGAAGGAAACACGTTAAGTAAACTATTGATAGTGATTGTTTTATGTTAAGAAAAAAAAATGTTGATAGTGATTTGTTTTATAGTTTAAACAAAAGGTTAGGCTGATATGCGTGGAAAACTTCTATATCAGTTAAAAAAAAAGTTTATAAGTTAACATCTTAGAGAATCTGCATCTTTAGACTCTTTGAGTCTTTGACTCTCGATCATTTTGAAACTTCAATACATTCCCTTTTTACACAATTTTAATATTTTTATCTACAATAGAAAGTTCTTTTGTCTTTAGAGAAATAAGTTTAAAATTGATACTATATAAGAAAAGAAAAAATACAGTTGGGTTTTCATCGAAATTATAGATAGATATAGTTAGTTATATATACACATATTCTAGAGAGCAAGTTTTTTTTTTTTTTTTGATAAACCCTATCGGCTATCCGGTCGGCCCCGGTAGGAACGCACCAAGGTGCTACATAGTGGACTGGTCTACCGTGTTAACGGCTAGGCCCTTCGGGCTACCACTCTGCCTATCCCGAGTTTGGAATGCCTTCCGACTAAGTGCCAGGGGTAGTCAGGCCGCCTGCATTTCTGACTACCAGGTAAACCAATTGGACCAAAGCCCAACTGACAGACTTCCCACAATAATGTTGATAACAGCTAGTAGGAGGAATCGAACCATGGAGAGGAGGGAGTTGCACTCAACCACCCTGGGCCCGCCAAGCCACCAGCCCACCATCATGTGGGCTTCTAGAGAGCAAGTTGATTGGAGGCGGAGCCATCAGCCATGCAAGTTACAGCCTATGGGCTGAGGTTAATGGCAGAAGCCAGAAGGGCACAACTTCCTAAAAATCTTAAACCATTTGGAGGTACCAACTCAGATTTTATGCATTCTCCAACTGTACAAATTAATTAACGGACTCACTCATGTTTTGAATCAATCTGTACATGATTGCATAAGTTAGATAGTTTTAGTAATCAATAAATCCGAGCGACTTGGTTTACTGAAATCATATGCCACTCACTGACCATGACACAAAACAAAATTCTTTGTAGCGAATATAATACATTTTGATTACCAATAAAAAAAATTAAAATAATTATTTAGATGGTGGACATCGGCAACTTTTTATTAGTGAAGTTTCCTTTTCTTTAACAGGAGTTTTTGTTCCAAGTGGGGTTTTAGATGAATATTGTTTTTGACGAAAAAAAAAAGAACATATTCATGACAATTTTAAAGTGAGGTAAGTTCAAAAGAAAATAAGTTTTCAAGGTTACAAAAGCCTGTATTCCTAATTTTTTAATGAAAATATTGTTGATTCGGCTAATATTATTGACATTGTATGATCTTATGTATACACTCGTGCAGTTGAGTTACTGCTTTAGATGTTGGTAAGTTATAAGTTAACATGCATAAAACAACGTTCCTCTATACATATGTATACATGAATGTATATGATAGTTGAGAAATTAATTAGGAATAAGTATATCTCGTTTATATCCTAGATGCTTTGAAGTGCCTTAATAATGGAACATAAAGGAGTGTTAGTGTTGTGGACGCAATTAGTTTCAAGGTCACTTCATAACAAAGTCTAGATTTTTTTTTATTCCTATAAGCAAACTTTGAATTGCTTTTAACACCGAAAAGAAAGAGAAAGGCGAAAACATCTTTTAGACCATCTTTATTTTGGTAAGAATATAATTTGGTAAGAAAATTGACTAACAAAAGTTTTCTGAGTACAATTATTGATTTATAAGATATGAAGATGCCAATCATTTTCATCTCATAACATTGTAATATTTTAATGTGATTAAAAAATTGCACACAAGAAAGTTTTGATCAAGATGTGCATGGGGATGAATGGGTAATAGATCATTTTTGGGATCTGAAAATATTGGGGTTAAGAAAATTTGGGTGGTGCAAGTGAATTACAATTGAGTCCTTGAAACTCCACTTAAAACATTCCTTTACCGCTTCTCAGCCACTGTCATTGGGTTGAAATAAAGTTTGAATCACCTTCGCAACCATGTGTTCAAACTCAAGACATATGGTTCATGTAGAGGCCACTAGAGCACTCTTAACTGCACTTGGTAGTAAATGAGGAGCACTTCCAGCTCATCTTAAATCTGGCAATATATATTGCTTGACTGCTTTAGCATGTACATAATAAAGTTTCACCAAGGAGTCTTCAAGAAAATTATTTCTCCCGACAAAACTCAAGATAGGCTTAGTGATCCCAAAATTAGACAAATAATTCATCCTTACTTCTTGCATTTGCTAGTATTAGCATTATTCATATCGAAGATAGGCATGAACTAGTTGAAAAAAACATGTCCAACTACTTCCTCAACAAAACTCGTCAAGACGAGTACCTGTCTGCAAATCCACGGTTAGTTCATATTTAGGAGCCACTCATCTCCATAGTCTTTAGTGACCTATATTCCTATTCCTTACTGAAATTTTTGAGGTAAGCCCATGAAAACTGAAATGTGCAATTCATAATGGATTTTTACATATATATATTCAGCCAACATCATAACAGTTTGGATTTACAAAATCATAGGCTCTCTGAATATACTAAAATTAAGAGCACTTTGTGTCAGTGAAGTTGCAATAACCGCTAGATATAATCACCATGAGAAAACTAAGACCAAGGTGTAAAATTATGGATGTGTAAATCACCATGAGAAAACTTTGGTTTTACACGAACTAGGGGTAGAAGGAGACGGTGGAATTTCAAATGTCGCATAAGAATAAATTACATCGCCCTTCTTCCATATTTGTCGGTCCACCAAAATCTTTTGCACCTAAACAACATCAAATTCAAAGTCATAACTCTGTTTCTTTTCTAGTTTAATTTGTTCATTTAGGTGTTTTTGTGCTATTTTCTTCTTTTACCCAAACTGATTGATTAGCTTTTTCAATTAATGTTACTTCATAATTGGGAGAAAAATGATTGTAAGAACGAATAGTACGTAGAGATATGCATTTCGTATGTACAATATGCGTATCCAACTGTCCATGCTTGCAAATAAATTTAGTCTACCACGGAACTAATGATGTTGTCCTCAAATTAATCGTGAGTTGCTATTTTCAATAGTTGAACATTACTAATTTGGAGTTTAATTAGATCGTTACAAAATATCGATTTTTTTATGAATTATAAAGAAAAAAAAACATAGGTGCTATAGAGACCTCCAAACACCGATTAGAACAATAAAGTAATTAACCATTGTATATAACAAACTGAGTATTTGATTAGGGTAAGAGGTTAATTGTTCTAAGTCCTACATTAACCAATATATATGTCCTTCTTTAGTCTTAAGGTTTTTCTATTTTACGAGATCCAATGACTTTGGGATTTGGGATTACAAACTACCAGGTAAGCATGAATTAAGTACAAAGTATAGTCTCGAATGAATGTAATTAAAGTTATACTACCATATATTTGGGGAAATAATTGATATGACAGATATATATTGAAAGAACGAAAGTTTTCGGAAATAGCCATGGATGTATTATTCTCAGGGAAATTTTAACCTCTTAAAGCTAACTTTAAACTAATTTTGATTGGAAATTCGATCCCAAAATCCAATGAAGAAGAAAGAAAAAAAAAACAGGTAGGTGACTTCTTCTTTTTTTGGTTTTGCATGCTTAGGTCAAAATACTTTGAAACTTACCTTTAAAAAATTGAACTGTAAGAAGAGAGTTCGTATATACTGTTGTAGGCTTAAGATCAAAGGTTGGGGAATCTTAAAGCTAGCAAGGTTCCCGGTGAAGCATCAGGCTGGTTGATTTAAAACTATACGAGCGAAGAGGAAGCTACCGAAGGATGAATCCAAAGAGATAGCATGATCCAAAACCAAGCAAAATTTTGTGAATTGTTTGCTAATTATTAAGAAAATATTGGGGCGAATTCACCTTTGTTAGGATCAATGCGATCCCTTTGGATCCTTCCTCTAGTTGCTATGAAGAATTTGTTCTCTCTAGATCTCTCTCTCTCTCTCTCACTAAAAGTTGAGAGCAATGTGGTTTTTGTCATTGGATCGTGTTCCTCTTGATTTTAAATAACACTCATTTATCTTTTAGTTTCCACTTTCTGACCCTTCAAATTTATTTATTTATATTTATATTATTTTCCAACTTTTGGTTTTCCATTTTTATATTGACTTATTGAGTAAACCAGACGTCTACGTTTCTGTACAAAATTTTATGGGCTCTAAATAAGTATACGGTTTAGCTGTTGTAATTTTACTTTATTTTGTTAGTGGAATGAGTTTGCTACACTGTAGTAAAATTATATGGTGCTTTTGCGGTTGATACATGCATAGATGAGCACAAAACTGTAATTTTCTTAATGGACTTATCTTTAAAATTGCAACCCAGTGTTCATGATGGGTAATAGGTCACAAATGACTAAATGTTTTCTCTATATGTATATCATAGCAATTTAGATATTCCCCACAAGTTGGATGACACTGTTATTTATTTTCGTCTTTATTAAATTTTGTTGGCTTATTTTAATAATACAAGGAGAAGTGTGGTCCACCAATGTTCCCCTTCTCTTTTGGCATCAAACCCTTCGTATAGACTCTTCAAATATGATTTTAGTTCAATGCCACATTGATTCACAAAGAACGTCAAATGATAATTTGTTTTCTGTTGCTGTTTTATGATAGTTTGAAACCTAAATTGTGTATAATACTTGCAATCATTTGATACACAAAGAACGTCAAATGAATGATGATTTTTTGTAGCTTTTGTATGATACTTTGAAACCTAATTTTTTTTTCTCCACATATTTAGGTCAGACTCAGACTCAGACATATATATGATTGACCCCTAAATTTTCTTAATATATACATGGATCCAATGTATCTCTGTCGTCTAGACATGCATATCAGTATAATATAGTCATCATTTACATATAATACATAGGGAATTGTAATAATACGCACAAATTTGCATTGTATATGTCAATGATGCACTGGCTTATAGGCATCACATGATTGCCATTTTCTCCCTTCAAATTTTTCACATGCAAGCAAAACAATTTAGAATCTTAGCTTTTTTGTATAATTTTGAAACATCAGTAACCGAAAAGTCAAGATTATGCATCATCATTAATACCTTAAATTAGGAATTTGTAAGATATTTCTAGAAAATCTTACAATTAAATATATTCATATCATATTTTAATTTTCGATGTCTTTCACTCCAAAATTAAGGATGTCCAGTTAAGAAAATAGTCAGGTAAGGTGATATGCCAATTAATGTTTGCATCCTTCGCTTTTGCGTTTATGAATGTGCGTGTGAGGAAATGTAGTGGACTACAATCACTTAGTCTTTATGAATCATCAATGTTTAGGAAACGAAAGTAGAAGACTATGGAAGATTAAGTGTTCGTGCTCCATGAAATAAAATAAAGTAGGTCTTTTAATTCAAAGATTTCTTAAAAATTTAGTCAGAAGTGCTCGTTCGTGAAGAATGTGTGCGTTCTCACTTACTCAAATCTTCACACATGCGTATATGTATATGTTGAGTAGGTGATTAATAGGTGCTTGTAGACGCAGACATGCATATTGCATGCAAATGGTGGGGTAAAATGGGCATGCGTGGTCTGTCGATATATGTTTGAAAGTGAAAGAGATGTTGATTAGAATCAAAAACAAAAGTGAGTCATTTGGAAATAAGTGAGTGTAGAGAACATATATGAAAATGTCGGCTCTGCATAGGACAAAAACTCCAGTTCCACTGTAGTACTCTTGTCGCTCACTACTTATATATCTTTCATGCTCTAGAGTCTAGAAGGGTTATAACATCATTAGATATACAACATCATAACTATATTATATACGATCAGTACACTTAACAAATCGTTTAACCCGGTGTCGGTAACTTTACTAGTCGATTTTGGTGAGCGCTCTTGGGGAGGGAGCATGACCAAGTCATGGGTCGAGTCTTACCGACAGTGAAAAGGGGGTTAATTTGTTTGTTCTGATCGTTGGCCCAAACAAAAAAAAACGGTTGTTTTTGATCTAGATTATTGATTATGCTTGTTTTCTTCTTTGCTAAGTTACGATGTTCTAAATCTTTGATTTGATATTTGATACATGTATAGGATTTAATGGTGGAAATCATATCGGGTTTTTTTTCAACCATATGATTGATTGTATTTGAATCTTGATCTTCTAGTACATGCCTTTAACTGTGCTTCCAAAAACTATTTGGCCCACTCTCTTCCTTTGATCAGTTCTCTGTTCCAAAATGTTTATAAAAGCTGTCAAGTGAACATGTTAAAGGCATGTCCTAGAAGATCAAGATTCAAAAACAAGAGTTGATGCCTTTTTTTTTATATGTAAATACAGAAGAATCACAGAACACACATGCAGTTACTATATTTTAATTCAAAGAAGTTTCAAAAATTGAATTCTAATCGGAAATTTACGACGTATGTGTTATGTATTACTGATAACTACTTTTATAAAATTTCTTAAAAATCTAACCATTAATAATTCCACCAAACTTCATTAAATAATATCAAATTCTCAGTAATCTCTCGCTGTTAATAAATTTAATTTGGAAGTTGAAAAGGTCAACTCCGAGTCATATAACGAACGGTTTTGAAAAAAAGGTGAGTCAGCAAAAAGGGTAAATAAGTAATTTCACAGCACCAGAACAGCCCCCCACTCTCAACTTTGCAGTTAGGCTTAGCAGGTACAGCCAGAGGACCCCGGTTGGTTACATTTTTTTGAATTTCAATTTTTTTTTCTAATTCTCTAAGACGAAAGTTAGTTTAGCTTCCGATGAACTCAGAAATCTCTCAGCCGCCGGAGCTAATGCCGTCGCTGAATCCGTTTACTGGTGTTGATATCTCGGAAGATACAATAAACGCTGCAGTCGAGGCAGAGCTCGCCGAGTTAGCGAAAAGTGACTCGAACGGCGGAGGAAAGAGTAAAGTGAAAGGATCTTGGTCGCCGGAGCAAGATGAGGCTCTCACGAGGCTTGTGAAAAAGTGTGGGCCGAGAAATTGGACTCTGATGTCTCGTGGAATCCCAGGTCGGTCTGGTAAATCTTGCCGATTGCGTTGGTGTAATCAGCTCGATCCTAACCTCAAACGAAAACCTTTCTCTGGTACAACACAAATCTCGATCTTCTTTTTGATTCTCGTTGATTCCAGATTCCTGCTTTGGTGTTTTTGATTTCTCTTTATCTACGTCTAATGTTAGCTTGAGTGATGTTGCTATTGTTGATTCAGGATCTTTCTTGTGGTACTTGATTCTAGCTTATTTGAAGAAATGGTGAGAGATTTGTAGATTGGTCTGTGTTTGCTGCTGATTTATTGGATATGAACTTTTCTTCAGAATCAGATTCTTATGTATATGGAGATGGTTTAATAGGCTTTAGAATTCTCTTGGATTCAAGTTGTTTATGTTATCATTCTCTAGAGATGTGTTTTTGATGGTTACTGTCTGAGTTATGTGTTTCACATTTTGATTAATGTTGTATCATGAAATTGATTGAAATGCAGATGAGGAGGATCATATGATAATGGCTGCACACGCGGTTCTTGGGAACAAATGGGCTGTGATTGCTAAACTCTTACCTGGGAGAACAGATAATGCCATTAAGAATCATTGGAACTCAAGTCTTAGACGTAAACCAGCAGATCTGTGGAAGATTCCTCTATTGATGTCTTATACAGAAGAAATATATCAAATGCATCCATCAAAGGTCAGAAAGATATCAAATGCATTCACTAAAGAGGAGCATCTACCTCGAGAAGAAACCGATTTGGTTACGCCTCCCGTATTAAATGATGATAAAATGGATGATGAAGTAAACGAGCCTCCTCGGGAGCAAAAGAGTAAACCTGATATTTATCGCCCAGTGGCTCGAATTGGTGCTTTCAGTGTCTGTAAACCAGGATACATGAACGACCATATGGCTCCATGTGAGGGATCTTTGGTTCAAGCATCAAGACCTGACTCATTGGCTGGTAAATATCTTCAGTCTCTTTGTTATGATCCTATCATCCCTTCAAAATGTGGTCACGGTTGCTGCAACCATCAAGACAACACAACACTGTCAACATCTTGCAACTCGGTGCTGGGACCAGAGTTTGTGGATTATGAGGAACATTCTTCGGCAGAGTTAGACCAAGAATTGATCTCTATATCAACCGACCTGAACAATGTTGCTTGGAATAGGAGTGGGATTAACAACAACTATTTTAAGGAAGCTGAACCAAGTTTGAAGGCTGATGATCAGTTTCGTCGTGAATATGCTCAGGCGAAATTTACTGGAATGGTAAACAATGGTGTATCAAGTCAGATGCTGAGACAAGATTTAAGGGCTTTGAGCTAATTTTAGAGACAAAACATTCATTCAATATCTCTTTGTGAATTCTATTTTTACCAGATCATAGAAGATTGAAACTTTACAAGTACTAAGCTGGCATTTCCTGGTAAATTCTTGAAGGCAAATAAAAAAAAATTAAAATGCATTTAACTACTGATTCCTCTGTGTTCTTAGAGTTATATACTTATATTGATGATAAAGAGAATGATTTCTATGTTTTTTGGACATTTGACTCAAATTTTCCTACAATTGGGCATCTAGGAAACAAGTGTATGGAATTTAGTATTAAAAGTTTAAAACGGATCGAAACTCTGCCAGAACATGGGGCAAGTTTGGGCTTTTTCAAAAGCCCACAAAAAGAAGGCCTCAGTGGTAACATGTCTATAATTTAAATATTTAGACTTAGTTAGTTGTATTAATAAAAGCTGTATAATTTCACATATCTTTATGTATTAATCGTTCTTGCAACTCCTTTGCCGAAAAGAGAATTACAGGGAATCAAACGGATGTTTAGCCGCTGCATTTTCTCTTTATGTTTCAAATAAATGCCAATGTTTCACCAAAGTTTAATATTATAATTTCATATAAAAAAAAAGTTAT